TCACCAAATTCTCCAAGCCTATCTCATTTGCAATCTGTATACCTTGTAGGACTGCATACAGTTCAGCCCTTAAGGAGTCCCCATTCCCCATCGGTCCTGAGTAGAGTGCTCTCAGATTCCTATCCTTGTCTCTTATGGTACCTCAAATTCCAGATAGCCCTGGGTTGCCCTGACTATTCCCATCAAAGTTCAGTTTCATAAAGCCTTCAATGGGAGGTGTCCAAACCATCCACTGAACTAGAAGCCACTGAAAACCAATTCCTCCATATGTCATCAAAGGAGAAATGTCTAAACAGTTCCATAGTTTGTAGCCAATGTATGGTTCTGGTCATTACACAATCCATAATTTGATGTTTACTTCTCGCCTTCTCTTGGAAGATTCTAGCATTTCTTTCTTCCCATAATGTCCACGCCACTGCTGCTCTAGTGCACCTCCACATTAGATTCGTATGTAATAGGCAAACAGCACTTGGGCTATGTTTGATTTTCAGTAAGATTCTGGTGGGATGAGGAAGGGGAAATTGATGTAAAATTTTCATGTTCCATTGTTTGGTTGCAAAAGGGGAAATAGTGAGAACATCAGCCGCAATAACAAAGAAATATTGTTTTCAGCCTACAGTTGAATCATCTGGTCAAACCAATTGACCTAACACCTGGCCAAAATTCCAGGTCCATTGAATTGCTTGCCTACAAAAAAATCATTGACTTGGTCAACAACCCAGTGACCTAGTCTATTGAACCACTGAACCATATAACCCAGTTAGCAGGTTAGAGGTTGAAGATTAGTCTTGTTTTTCTGTTTTGTGTACGTCATTTTCATCATTGATAAAAAATTCTTATTTATCACACTATTATTTTCGTTTAATATCATGAGTATATAACATTTGAGATATACCCCATTTTTTACAATTTTTATATAATCTTTTGTATTTTTATCTATTTCTTATCTTTTAGTAATCAATTATGTCATCATAGATTCACCCATTTGGCCCAGTTGATTGAACTACAGACCTGTTTGAGCCAGTAGTGGGTCATGGACTCATGGATTAGATATTACTTCTTTTTTCTGTTTTTTTTCTTTTGCATTTTTGTCCATTTTCATAATAGTAAAAAAAAGTATTCTGATTTATCACACTTATTTTTTTAATATGATGAATATATAATATCATTGACATGTCAAATTTTTCTATAAAATTTCTATACTTTTCTATAATTATAACATCATGAATTGACCCATATGACCTAGTAATCGGTTGAATCACTAAACAATTTGATCCAGTCAACAGGTCACGTGTCAAATATGAACTCTTTTTTTGTTTTTACATTTTTAGCCTTTTTCATCATTAATAAAGAATAATTCTTTTTCATTGCACCTATTTTTGTCTAATATAATGAACATATAATATTAGACAGAAACGTGATGTCCAAAAAAATTAAGTGTTGCAGAAATGTGTATGCTGCAATGGATGAGTGGGACACCAGAAAGAATTGGGCCAGAAATGAAGTCATTTGAAGGAACCTTGGAGTAGCTCCAAGAGGTGATAAAATGAGAGAAAGTAGACCAAGATGGCTAAAAGAAAAAGACAGTGGACCATGGAATTTGGCTCATCTTTTTGGCAGAAGCTAGAGATATTTTGAACTCAATGCAGGTTAAATTGAACTGGATCTCTAGGGAACTGAACACTGTGGCAGATGGTTTAGCTAAATCTGGTGCTCATAGAGATTGCTTATTTAGTGATAGTGCTCTTCCTTTGTAATCCTTTTTTTTCTCCCTGGAGTACATCTTCTCATGTACCTCCCTTTTTTTAATATAATCTTAGTCACCTTTTTCTCAAAAAAAATAAAAAAAAAAAGTAGACTAAGATGGTTTTGTCACTTGCATAGAAGACCATCTATAGCACCTGCAAGAAGAAACAATCTGTTGCAAGTTGAATGGACTAGAAGGGCTAGGGGCAGAAGTAAAAAAGGACATGGGTTCAACTAGTAAGAAATGATTCAATTGCTCATAATTAAAAAATGGATATGGCACTACACAGAATGAAATGGCAAAAAAATCGAATTCATGTATCCAACCCCATATGGTTGGGACAAGGCTTAGATGATGATAATGACGGTGGTGCTGATGTGATGATGCAAACGTGGAAACAAAATATCAGATTGTTTTATTCATTGCACCAATAAAATAGGATGCCCCTCCAATAGAAGCTAGTAGGGAGAAAAGCTCTGCCGCAAAATCTATTAGTTGTATGCCCTAAAACCAATTGTGTGACACTATAGAGGAGCTTTGTTTTTGTACTATTCACATTCATTAATAAAAGGGCATTTTTGTCATTCATATTTGCAAATCTTAGTTTCATATGAATAACCCATAGTTTCTTTGTTAAGTAAACATATTTCTAAGTATGTTACAAATCTTGAGATATGTTTTGCCTGATACAAAGATCCTAAAATGGTTCCTAGTCATAGGACTATCAAAAGGGCTTTGATAGTCCGGATAGACTGGCACATATTATGCTTGCCTTATGGGGTGATGAATCTCAAGTCACTTATGTAGTCACACTAAAGCAAATATGTGGGTGTCTGTTAGAGAATAGGATCACTGAATGTGACCCATAATAGAATAGTTACAGATAATCCTTAGACCCGAGGCATCATGGATATCTTATGTATGGGGCATTATGGTTAGATGGAGCAAATATGCCCTAACCAAGGGTTTTAGCACGCACATTTCAACCATAGTATCTTATGCATGGAGGTATGTGAATGCACAACATGGAATCTATCACTCTCCATGAGGAGAGAGAATGTCCTATACGACTGAAGTAAGTACTTGGCCAAGGCAGAATGGTATATAGAAAGAGTACCAAGTGTCACCATATGAGTCATCATCAATTCAATGAGACATAAAACTGAGCAAATAGGGTTTGACTTATTCACCATGACCCTTTTCTTTCTTGAGACATTGTGTGATATAAGGATTTGACTGTATGATAACTGGAGATGGAAAAGTTCAAACTACTAAATCCAAGCTGTTAGGGTAGCCATGACATATCACTAGGTGTCACTCATGGTTTGTGGAACCCCTGTTTATAGTGATTAATCATTCACATTCAAGGGAAAATTAAAAGAATTTTAATTCAATTCAGATAAAAGGAGTTCTATATTGGGATGTTGAAGGAGTTCGGCATAATTTGTCACTGCCTAATAATAGCAATATAGCATTGAACTTAAGAGGTCACATGCGTTAAGGACCAAAACACAAACAAACTATGGAGGAGGATGTTCTAATTAAGAAGAGACTTATTAGAGGGACCTGATTATAATAATTAGGGACATGATTGTAATTAGGAAATTTTATTGGATAAACCCTCTCCTGATTAGAAGAGTGAAAACCATATAAGATAAAGAAGGGGGTGTCCCTAGAGTTACATACAGAATACACTCTATTTGTTAAACCTAGCAGAAAAAAGATTGCTAGCAAAATCTTGGAGTCGTCCAACCCTCTTTCTCCCTCTCCTCTTGGATCGTGATCTACATAGAGAATTGGGAATTTGTCTATTGTTGCTTCGTATGGATCAATCTTGGAGGCCAAACAATTGAGAGGCTGCAATTAGGACCAATTTCCTGAAGATATGCTACATCAAATCAGATCTGCATGACAGGTATGTAGTTTATGGTTATGTAAGTAGTTTTTGTACATCACCATGGGTGTGATCTTGGTTTATCAAGATTAATTATTTTTAACTTCCACTGCATTAAAAGCGCTAAAGGATCCGCTAGAATCTTTCAAAATCAAGTGAAAAATGGATATGTACCAAAGGTTCTTCAGACACATGAGGTAATTGGGTACCTGTTATGGATCAGAAAAACTTGGTACTTGTTGATGCATGATGGGCCTCACAAAGAAAACCTCCTTTTCTTCTTCCAACAACTGTATGTCTCCATCAACTCTGAGAGATTAGATGATATAGTCTAGGACTCTAGGAAATATGCACATAGCCCCCACATTTGACAACTCCAAACTAAACATCCTCCAAGAAGCTAACCTTCTTCCTAGTTCCAAAAAGAAATCTCATTAAATCTCAAATTCTTTATGAAACCTCATTACTAATTAAGGAGCTAAACACCTTGGCAGCTGAATGCAAGCTTAACTTGGACTTACAGATCGGCAATGCACTAGCCAATGCAATGGTAGGCAAAGGGTCAACGGGGAACAAATGTTTTGGGGCAACTTGTTGTAAGAGAATAATTGTAGGGTGAGGAAATGCTTCAATAGAGTGCTGAACACTTTATATCTTGGGGATTCTCAGCATTCTGTACATATTCAATCTTTTACTTAATAAAATTATTATAATTACCAATTCAAAAGAAAAAAGAAAGCCATCATTCGTCATTAGTCACCTTCACAATGAAATACCATAAGTATAAGACAAGACATTGATCTAGAATACCATCCAAAATGATCAACACCATACTGCTCCCTGCCCTTTTCCAAAGAAAAGCACTCATTTCCACAAGAGTGGATGTTTCAAACACTACCAAACTGCCCTACCAAAGTTAATCTTTGACTTTTTTGTAGGGTGCAAATCAGGTACCCAATTATAAGAGTTTGCACCAAGTTGGGTCCGGGTTCTATAGATAGTGATGTTTCACACAATCAGTCCCAAGCTCGGATAAAGGATGGTTTTGTCAGGTAACCTTTAGCTAATCCAATATGAACTCAAATTTTACATAGACTTGCGTCTGTTTAATGTTGGAGATTCAAGTTCCTCTAAATGCTAAAAATAAGGATCACAAAACATCAAAGGAACTAAATCAAAAGCTTCTCTCACATAATTACAATGCAATGCCACATAAAGGACAGGGCCACATGGATACAGAGAACAAACAATTAGATTTATATAGTCTACAGGCAGCCATATAGTGGAAATTTACAATATATCACCAAACAAAAATCATGGTACAAAACACAAATCATTACATTAATCAAGAATACCTACCTGCTGTCTCGTACTGGAAAATTCAGGATGGCTTGCAGCTATAAGTGTCTTGAACATTCGAGGGGGTATGCCTTCCTGTTTCTGAAAAGAGGAAAAGAAATAATAAGTAGTTCTTGCAAGTGAGAGAGACTAGAGGAATTAAAAATGGCGAAAGAACATTGATAAACAGCAAGAGGCTAAAAGTTTACCCAGAGAACTTACAGAATGGGATGCTGTAACATTTGCAATATCATCTTTCTGGATGAGAAGATGATTTTATTTACTTAAAAATAGGGGAAAATGGCACAAAACAATAAATGGCTTTATAATCTACATACCTCCTTTGCAGGAACTGAATATTTACCAGACAACAACCCGTGTCCCAGCTTTGTCCTATCACATATCAAATCTTGCTACATAACTATTATCATCTTGTCTCATATACTTGCTTCATAAGCAGTAGACAGACTAACAGATCAAAAATAGAAAAATATATACAACTATCCACTGCAATGCAGAAATTAACTATAGAGTCCTGGATTATGCAAAAATATGAAAGAGCCAAAATCTATTTTTGAATCCAACGAAGAATAATTCGGCGTTTTCTTTGGTTTTTTTCTTTGTTTGACCAGCAATAGCAATCGATGTTTTATTAATATGGTCTAAAAGGAACCCCAACTACCTATCAAAAAAAGGGACCCCAACCTCAAAAATCCTGTGGGGTGAAGAGAACAGAAGGAACAGTACTAGGCTGACAATACTATAATAAGAAAACAGGGCATATCATAGTCCTACTAATTTGCCCCAAGGCCTGGAACAACCCAAGCCAGATCATCCAGAGGGCTCCTGCCTAACTGGAGCATATGCTAGGTTATTTGCTGCCCTTGGAGACCACCTAAATGAGCAATTCAGATTTTCTGATAAAGCCTTCACTTCTCAAATCAAGATATGAGGGCCCAAGGGCCATTTGATCCGAAGGACAGCCAACCCACACCCATCACCACCTGACAATCTCCTTCCACCATGGCAAAGAAGGAGGTGAATAGACAACAGATGTTACAGATGTTTTGATGCAGATTGTGAAGTAAAAGAAAAGTTTGTGGGTTTGGTGGTTTTCTGCCAGCGTTAAAGGCAAAGGGGGAATAGATTCCCCATATTGTGCATAAATATACTTTTATTATCTTAATGAAAGGTTTTTTGTTAATGATGAACAAATCTATTTACAATTTTTTGTTCTCCCCCCCCCCAAGCTCTCCCTCCCTCCTTCCCTCCATTTTGCCCATCCTACTCTAATCCTATGGGTGACATCCTCCTCATTCTCTATCTTGTTATGAATTATCAAGCCAAGGTACCAGAAAAGGTCATGTTGAGTTATCTCTTGGTCACCAAACTTACTACAAACTCTTATTATTAAATTATATAGCACCATCATCATCCATGCCTAATCCCAATTACATGGGGTCAGCTACATGAATCCTGTTTCGCCAATCCATTCTATTTAAAGCCATATCCACTGTTAAACTATTAGTGCTTAAATCATTTCTTATTACTTCTACCCATGTCCTTTTTGGTCTACCCTGAGCTCTCTTCTAGCCCCTTCAATTGTAACAAATCACCTTCTAACTGGCACAGTTGGTGATCTTCTATGCACATGCCCAAACCATCTTAGCCTACTCTCTCATTTTATCACCTATTGGAGCAGCTACTCCTAGATTCCTACAGATAACTTCATTCCTAATCCTATCTTTTCTAGTTTTTCCACTCATCCATCTTAGCATTCACATTTGTCACATTCATTTTCCAGACATGTTGTTTCTTGACTCCATGCAACATAGCTGGCCTTACAACTGTTTTATAGAATTTTCCTTTTAATTTAAGTGGTATTCGCCTATCACATAAAATTCCAATCTCTCCCTTGTTATGAATTATTGAACCAAGGTACCGGAAATAGTCACATTGAGTTATCTCTTGGTCTCCAATCCTAAGTGCATCTTGATTTACACTCCCATTATTACTAAATTTACATGTCATATACTCTATTTTAGTCCTACTCATTTTAAAACCTCTTGTTTCTAAGGCATTTGTCCATAAGCTTAATTTTGCATTTAATCCTTCATAAGTTTCATCAATTAAAACAATGTCATCCACAAACAACATGCACCATGGAACTTCCTCCTAAATACGTTTAGTCCTACTTATTTTAAAACCTCTTGTTTCTGAGGTATATTTGCCCATAAACTTAATTTTGCATTTGATCCTTCATTAGTTTCATCATTTAAAATAATATCATCAGCAAACAACATGGAGGACAGGCCTCCTCTTGAATATATTTAATCAACTCATCTATGATCAATGCAAATGTGTACTATCAAGACATAAAATAACAACCAATGACAATGTTAGTGTTTTAAAGGTTCAAGGCGCAAAAAGACATAAAGGGATTTTGTGACCGAAGAACAAGGCACATGCCGTTTTGAAGCAAGGTGCAAAGTTTAAAAAAAAATCAAAAACACAAATAATATTAATTAAAAAATACAAACTTTAATTTTAAACTAAATGTTCAAAAAAAAACTATTCGCTCAAATTGAAATACATAAACATAACATATAAAACATATCCAATCACTCAACAACAATTCAAGTATGCAAAACTTTTAATCTCTTTATTTCTTTCCCAATTGCATTACTTCAAATAGCTAATGTGATGTTAAACATCTTTGGTTCCTAATTCTATGAACCACCTTTGTACCAAGTCCTTTAAGGCAAGCCCAAACAAGTTCATGCTAGGATCTCATATTCTTAATCCTTACATAAAAAATGTTTTATCATTTTAATTGCAGTTCCATATATTTAAAAAAAAAAATGTCTTATATTAAGAAGAATGAATGAAAAACATTAGCAAAAAATAGAGTTCTTAGAGCTTTGGTAAGTGAGAAAACCAGAGCGAAGTAGATCACCATGCTTCTAAGGGTGCAAAATTTAACTGAGGCACAAGGCACACCAGGTGTGTGCCCTTTCAAAGGAGCTGCACCTAGGCATATACGAGGTGCAGGCCTTGAAATGCGCCTCACTTGTGCGCCTTTTAAATTATTGGACAATGATGTTTTGGTTTGGGTAATAAATGTATAAGAAGCAGAGGTGAAATATAAGTAGTTAACGAATACAAATTGCCAAATGATAATTCCATAATCAAGAACTGTTGCCTCTCTTATAAGGTCTAAATCTGGATTATTCTTCAGGCTGGAGAAGGTTGGTAATTGAAGGAGATAGCCAAGCAGTAATAGATTGGATGGTTTCAAAAAAAGGGTCCTTGGTCTCAAAGATTTACTCTCTAGTGAGGTAAAATCTTTAGCTTCACTCTTTAACAGCTCAATCAGGTGAGTTCCCAGGTTGGCTAATATCTTAGTTGATTCACTGGCCAGAAGAGGGATTATTGGGGGACTGAATCTCATATTGAAGGAGAGCAAGGCCCAGAGGTTGAGCATGTTCTGTTTGTTCAATTTCATGTTGTTTTGTATTTTAGCATTGCTTGTTTCTCTGTTATCAGGCTCTCCTTTTAGCAGGGTTCTATCTCATTTACCATCATTAATGAAGGCATTCTGATCACTAATGATCAACAAAAAATAGAAATAAAAGCTCCAGGCATTCTTGAGAAAGACTAGAGAGATGGAATAGGCACACAAAATTCAGCTGGCATGGACTACAAACTGTACCAAAACAACGAGAAAAACAAATACACAATCAGCCATTTAGATGAACCCTAGGAGGCACAATGTCCCTCATTCAAGAGAAGCTCTTTTGACCCCCTCCCTTACAAGAGGGTTGGCTCATCCATAAACCCACAGATTCACAACAACAGTATGTTTCAACACCCAACACATGCCAAGAACTGAAATGATAGCATTTACAAACAATAGAATAACTGGACACTTACAACTGTGTGTTCAAGTCTAAAGTTGGATCAGCAGGAGCTGTCTCAAAAGCATGTTTCAAATTCAGGTTCTTGTAATATCTGATAGAAAAACCACAATAAAGGGATAAAAAAATGTAAAATCAGAAAAAAAAAGAACCACATTTACTAATTATCATCATATATACAGTACTGACCGTGAGTAGAAACTATGTGTCGAAAATACCACTTGCATTATTGATGCTAAATAGCAGCTGCAAAGGCAATATGAAAGGCATGAACAAAGAAAACAGCATTAAAAAAAGACTTTCTAATTAGAAATCCTAGTAGCCCAAATTAAGGACAACATTACCTGTTCCCAAGATTGACAAGTCCTGTATAACCTGGACCAAATAGTGGCTCCACTTCTTCTCCGCTTTCTTGAATGCGGTTCCAGTCAAAGTTGGTATTCTGGTCCAGTTCCTTCTCAGCAGTTGTCATTTCAGTCTGAAATAAGAAAGATCCATTTCCTTATCCCACGTGAATTATCATATCATGTTAACAGCTTGGAAAATTTACATTATTTTTGGGGAGAATGAACATGTCATAGCCTCATTGGCAAAATATTTCAGGGAAACCTGAAGAAACTGTTCGTTAGGCAATGCCTAACTGCTCAACAAAGGTAACCAGGAAGCCTAGAAATGTCATTGGCTGCCAGGACCCAGGAAGGTACACATTTTTTTATCCTTTTTTTTTATCAAGTCAGGAAGGTACACATGTATCAAACATTTTGCATGCATGTAACGTCGCAAAGCAGCCAGTTGCAACCAGACCCCCAAATTGTTAGAAATATCAACATACACTGCATATAGATAAATAAGGTCAAAAAAATTATTAAAGCCAAGATCAGCAATAACTTCTTTTGAGGACATCAAATGTACTTCTTACTTTATTCATACTGATAAAATTCTTTTTATAATCACAAAAAGTCATTATAATGCCAGAAAGCTAACAGATATGGGAACTATATAAGCACCTATTTTTATCTCATTTTCAAAGTACAGATAGATATACTATGACATGACATAAATTATGGTAATAGGACTACAAGCATAATGATAGTCCAGTCCCCTAGCACGTGTGACCAAACTAAATTTGGTGACTATTTGAAATTTAGCACTCCATGTTCAACGTTAAACAAGTTGATAAATATATTTGGTAGGGGAAGGGAGTTGGACAAACGTGTTTGAAGACATATTTTAGGCTCATTCAAACAACTGAAAGAAATAGATTCAAATTCCATTCTGCCTTCGTTCAACTTATTTATAAAAGATTTGTTCCTTTTAGAGGGAAGTTCTCCCAATGTGACATCACAAAATCTTTTCTTGTTTATTTCAAGGAGCAGTTTATTTATATCTATAGCAGGGGGCTCACAGGAATGCAGATAAACTTGTTAGAGGAAAGGTTAGCAGTATATTTCATGGTCAAAATTTGACAGGAAGAAGGAAATGGTAGAGTTTTCTAGTTCCACTTACACTAGGTGTATCATGTTAGTCAAAATATACATAGCTAACAAACCTTTTGCAATGAAGAGAAGTCAATGCCAAAGAAGGCTAAATGTTGAGCTAATAATGGATCCTCAACGCTATCATCCTCTGGATATGAGAAAACATCTGAGCTGCCATAATAGGTTATCCAAAATTAATACCAATTCCTGCAAACTAAGTAATTTCACAATAAAAAGAGCGAGGGGGAAGAGAGAGAGAGAGAGAGAGCTATTTCAAATAATAGAAGGCCACACAATGCTACAAGACAAGAAGTGGTAAAGCAGACACATATAAAGGTTTCATGCATTGAAAATCTTGTAAAACCAACTGCCAGTTTTTTTTCTTTAACATGTGATTGCATCAACTAATTAAAAACATAGGGCAAGCCCCATGTAAAAGGAGCCAAAAAGCAGCCCGAAGGACATCAGAAAGTGACTAGTTGCTGCCATAAATGACTGCATCTAAGCTATCAAAAAGGAAAGATAAAACACACATATATATGGATGCATGAATATATCCTATCTAAGCTTCATAGGTCTCATTTGAGATTTTGCTCTTGGGAAGTGCATGTAGATCTACCTAAACACGAAATATCTTCTCCATGTTCTAGCAGTTGAGACCATTTGTTCTCTGGTGAAGAACTTACTATAGTTTCCAATAGCAACTTTTTTAGCTCTTGGATCCTCCACATCAGATTAATCCATCTTCCATTAAGACCATGTAGATGGGAGCACCACCCCCCTCCCCCTAGGAAAAAAAAAAGAGCCCTGCAGGCGTGGCTCCTAAATATGGATGGGTTATTCTTGGGAAGAGACTATTTCTATTATCCAACATAAATTTCAACGTATTCTTCAGGGCATTAGGCAAAAGTATATTCCCCACTCATTCAAGTACTTCTAATTTGGACCACCTTCTTCCCAATTCCCATTGATGGTTATCTTTTCGAAGGCAGGAAGATAACCTTGTTGAAAAACATGGATGGTTTCTCCATGCTTGTCTCTGTGGTGATTGTTTTAGAGAAAGATGGAAAATGATTTTCCGTGGAATGGTCCTGGCAATCAGAAGTTCCCCCTTGTGGCATGGTCACAGGCAAGAAGAAAGCAAGCAAAGAGATGGGCGCCAGGTCGTTAAGTGCTACGAATAAAGCCCTCCTAAATGGTTTTGGTGTTTTAGTGAAGAACAAGAGCATCTATGGAGGAAAGTTATCTGTGGTAAATATGGTTTTCCTCAGTTTAGGTGTTACACATGCCAGGCAACAATCCCCCATGGCAGCAATTTGTGGAAAGGAACAATGCAAGTTTAGGGACAGTTCCTCAAACACATGACATCTAAAGCTGGTGAAGGCTCTCACATTCTGTTCTGGACAGATTCTTTGTATGGTGATTGATCTCTTGCTGAAGCCTACAAGAATCTGTTCCATATTGATGCAGAAAAAATTGCAATGGTGACTGTTATGAAGTAGAGGCTGGCCAGGTGGTGTGGACCCAAGGCTGAGATGGAACATAAATGATTGAGAGGTAGCCACCCTGCTCTCCTTGTGAAAATAAGCATGACACAAGAATCTGGAAGCTTACTAAAGATGAAGGCTTCTTCGTTGAGTTCCTTCTAGAATTCCATAATTGGCCCCCTTCAGGACTCTTCCCTTGAAGGTTATCTGGAATGCCCATGTCCCATCCAAGGTACCATTCTTCTTGTAGACCGCAGTTTTGGACAGAATGCTAACAATCAATCACCTGATCTTTTTTTTGCTAAGTTCAATCACCTGATCTTTAAAGGCATGATGCTGACCAAGATGTGTTGCCTACATCAGTCAGTTAGTGAATAAGTTCCTTAGTCTCTGATTCATTGCAAGGTGACTTATGAGGTTTAGTGTCACTTCAGCTGGCTCTTTAGAAGTCCTTGGCAAATCCCAGGAAATCAAATACTGTTGATTTCATGGCTTTCAAAAGGATATTTTAAAATAAGTACAATCCTTTGGAACCTTCTCCTTTTCACAATATGCTCATGAATCTGGAAGAACAGGAACAGTATTATCTCTGATCTTAAAAGCAGCACCATAGAGGTTTTAATTGGGAGATTTAAGAACCATTGATTAGGTGGTGACTTATTTCGAAAGACTTTTATGAATATTCTAATGATCACATCAGATAATAGATGGATGACTTTCTCTTCATGGAGACATTAATGGGGATTAACTGTTGTATCTCTTTGTCACAGTTCTAGCTCGGCAAGTCGGCATCTATGCCAAGTTGTACTTTGAGGGCTGATCCTCTTGTCTGCGTTGTTTATTCTTCTTAATAAATTCACCATTTAGTACTCTGGAATACAAAGTAGCTAAAAGCCTAAAACACTTGTAACCTGTTTTAAGTTTAATAAATAAAATTACTTTCCCGATCAAAAAAAAAATACTGCAAAATTTAGGTTGAAATACAGAAAGAAAAGGCATTTGCTTCAAATAGCAGCAGAAAACTTGTGTAGATTAATATATAGATGCCTAAACCTTAACAAAATTGAAAGAAAGAAAAGAGATGGTTCCCATCAAAACATGAGACATGTAGAGATAATTTTCTTTGCAAAACCAACAGAAAGCAGGGCTGTAAGAAAATTTATTGGTAAAACATAACTACTTATCCATGGATTGAGATAAATGAGATGCTCAAAAAGAAGTAGCACCAGTCAGCAATAGAAGAGCTTTTGGTTTATAACTTTACATTCTCTTGTAATGTGTCTACTGGAAATTCATTCTGGCTCCTTTTAAAGCACAATGGATGGAAACACATTTAGAAAAGTTATTCTAACACATGAAGGCATTACCTGCTCCTTCCAAATCAGCAGTTATAGTGCCAAGCTTTACTGCAAGGGGGTAATAAGTTTCTTTGTAGTGTTCAATAGCATGGTTGTTTCCACCACTACCATCCCAATTTCTCCTCCCACAAAGGGTCATCCCATCAGTTAGATTCAACCATAGATTTTCAGTCTTGTCACACTTGGCACATTTCCACCCAGATGGAGGGACAATGACCCCATTGTCAATCTGTTGAAGATTCATGGCATAAGCACTGACTTGCTTCTTATCAGCTGTCCAAGCTGCTACTTGCTCTTTCCGCTCAGCACCTTCAGCCATTAATATAGAATCAACTGCCAATCTGACCTGCAATTTCGTAGCATAGGCATGCCTTGGCAATTACAACCAAACATATTCTCTTTTGATATAATAAATAATGAGAAACTACAATTACCTTTTCTGGCAACTCTACAGAAGGAAAAGAAAGCGAGACAAATTCTGGCAATATGACAATGTTATGGGATTCTTCATATTCAGGTTCATGGTTGTCGAAACCACCCTCCATACCTGCAAATAAAACAGAATAATGTAGAAAAGAGTGCTGTTTTTCATAGTAGAGACATAGCTTCCACCGATAAACTGGAATTCATCCATGGCTTGAATAAAGAGAAGGAAAAATAATAAATGTATGTTTGTGTACAAATAGCTTATTTGATAGCAATCCAACTCCACCATTAGAATGCATTTGGTTTCTACCAGAAGTTTCAAACAATTCAAATGGTAGTACAGTAACAGCAAGGAAATAATAAGCCTACAAGATATATATTTACGACTGACAGCTTCAAAATGCTATAAACGTCATCCTTTTTTTAATATGCATAGACGTGTACAGAATTAAATATATACCTATTGCCAGAAGAGTCGGTTTCTTGAGGGGCCTATCTTCAGGAACCGGTTTTTTCGTCTGCTTTATGTGCAAATAAACTGGGTTCCCAGTCTTTTCATAATTCCAACCCACATAATCCTTCCCAAACGCAAGAAACGAGTTCATGTCGATGAACAATCCGCCTTCGGATCTCTGAAACTCACAAAAAGAACATCAAAGAAATTAACTTCTTTTGGTGAAAAAAGAAAATAAGTTTCAGATGAAAGGAAAGATACGACAGACCTTCAAATATAAAATAAAAAGGAAAATCGACAACAATAATGGGTGCAATTAGAATTACCGGAGTGTCGAAGGAAATGCAGCATTCTTGCTTGTAAATTCGATTGGTTGGTTCGGGAATTCGGACTCGAGAGAGGTTCGATCTAAGCAGTTCCATTGGAGTTAACAATGAAAAAAGTAGAGGGTTTTTAGGGTTTAAAGGTGGGCAACAGGAAAAACGGCTTTACAATCGAATCTGTTCTTTGCTTGCCCTAAACTTCTGTTAAGCATAAACTTGGTTGCGACAAAAGGAAGAAAAAGAGAGCAAAATGTATGTTTATAATTTCTAGCTACCTCCGACGGGGATTCGAATTCGACTAGTGTGTCCTAACAACACCTGATGACTTTTATTACCAAATGCAAAGAAGCAAGAGATAACTATAAACTACAGTGATTGCCGGGCCGTTTTAAAAACCGCGGAATAGGCTGAACTGAGGAGCTTATTGCTTTGTCTTTTAGTGGTAAGAGAACGTTGTTTGGGCCTTATGGGGTGGAAGTCGGGCCGGGTTTGGCCAAATTGAAGTCAACTCTAAACACACAACCGGAGCTTCTGAACCCTAACCCTAGCCGGTCCGAGTGAAGTCAACTTAAGTACACAACTTGAGCTTCTTAACCTCAACCCTAACTCTAACCCAATCTAACGTAGTCAATCCTGACCCTAATTCAACCCGCTCACCCAATCCAACCCAAAGTTGCGTTCAAGTTGAGCCCAACTTGACCATAGTCTCTATTGGTACAGGTGTAAATCGAGACATGTTGGGTTGGCATAGCACGACTTTGCGGGCCACCTGTGTTTTGGCAAACCATACCAAATTGTGCTTGCCTATGATACTTTAGAGGTCAGGCCTCGCATGACCCCATAGCAAGAGCCCATGTGATGTGTACCTGAATCAAGTCGTGGGCGAGGCCATGCCATAAGAGGCATTTTTTTATTTTGAAAAAAATGATGAAATTCTAAAATAAATTAACAAAATATGAAAAATGGAATAAAATCTTAAAATTTTATTTTATATGAATTTTTTATGTATACAATTGTTTATACATGAAATAATAAAACGAAATTTAAAAAAAAAAATGCAATACAATTGGAATGGAATAGTATAAAAAAATTGAAAACAAAAATTTATGTATATTAATATTTTATATAATTATATATGTATAATTATTACATACACATATATATGTATGTAACTATATATTTATTCTGTGTATAATAATATAAATATAATATATATGGGTCATGCTAGGTGGTGAGCCAATGCCAGCACAGTCCACTTTGTCATGCCGGCCTGTGGACCTGAAAACCCAAGCCTGACACATGTCATGTGCTACAGTGATGGTCCTAATGGGCCAAGCCCAGTATGACCTGATTTACAGCTCTATCTAGTGGTATTTGATTGCTTCATGTTTTTATTGTTTCTCTTAGAATAAAAAAGAGAAAAAGATTCAAATTATTAGTGTTTTTATGTATTATGATAGATCTCCTATTAAAAGATTAAATTCACAAAATCGACAATTATAAAATATAACTTTATGGAATAAAACTACTAATGACAACTTGTTAGTAGGGTTGAGGCTTTAAGAGGTAAGACCAGATGATATGTAATGGGAATATAATGCATATGTACAATAGCAATAATAGAGTTATGTACAATAGCAATAGTAGAGTTAGGTTCAGGTTGGATCCAATTAGGTAAGGGATCAACTTAACCCGACCAAAAGTAAAGTCGAGTTGGCAAAAGACAATATCAACCCTAATCCATTCATCAATCCAACCCGATCTACTACATCCCTAATGGTGAGCTCCATAATCATTGAATTTGAAGCTTATTAGATAATTATGCTTTTTAATATTTTATTATTTAATTCTTTTGTCCACTAAAATCAAACTAAATAATCTTTTACAACTTTGGCCATTATCAAATGACCCTTTTTTGGAGTATTTGGTGATACACCCAAATCCCCTAGAGAGGTTGTTTGAATATCACAAACACCATCTTGTACACCCCCCCTTCCTCCAATTTTGGTGATAGCAGCATGATTTGAATCCCAATCTCTACTAGAATGAACCAGCTAATATACCAATTGAGCCACCCTGTTGGCTCAATGCCCCCTTCAGTGGTGAGTGCATTGAACCTATATTCCACTAGAAGCTCATAACTTACCACTTTATCAAAGGTGGTTTAGTGATAAGAAAAGGAGGTCAAACTGAATGATTTATAGCCAAATGGAATGTTGGATTGATTATTACAACCATAAATATTTTATCATTTTAGCTGAATGGCACATGCATTTGCACCTCTAAGAGGGGAGAAAGGTAAGCAAATGATTTAGGGTATGTTGGTCCCTTGTAATAGGTAATTGGAATGGTTCATTCCGATTCCAACTGTTTGTTTGAAGTGGAGCTATCATCTAGGCATTTCATGGATGCCCCCAGCCATTGAAAGAGTTATGGAAATAAAGTGTTGAGATAAATTCGATCTCACATCAACACTAAAACTAGTGGAAGAATATGAGGTTTTCTAGGTGCTATTTTAATCTTATTAGGAAAAGCTTAGATCCAAGTTTCCTGATCTGGACCCCATCAAGCTCAAAGAGATGTCCCTTTGATTCATAGAAAAAATGAAAGAAAAAAGCAAGGGGATCTCTAAGGACATCGATACCGAAAGTGTTCGGTCCCTTTGTTAGATAGTGTATGCCCTTATCTCTAATTAGATTGATGTACAGATACATTTATTGTAAATGAATAAAAGTGCATTATTGTTTCATCTTGATATTGGTATGCTTCTATGAATTTACCCCATAAACTGGACACTTATGAGACTCGTGTTAGTTTACAATGTTCTCAGTCATTGGATAGACTTGGGGAGTTTATCCTACCAAGGCTGACACTGATGTGCTGAAAAGAAGTTCGGGCAACTTGTCTTAGCTGCTAGGATTAGACCCAAAGCACACACAGTGTGCATTTGGTTGAAACATTGAACCCATACCATTTTCTAGTTATGCCCTGGACCTTGGAGATTGATGGGCAAAACTAGAAAGTTACACATAACCCCTAGACTTGATTATGGTACTGCACTAGGCGTCAAATTGGGTTGTCTTTGATATGCCAACCAATGAGATCCATTAAGGGTCAAAACATGGGTATGTTGGGGCAGTATGAGAATTCACTTAAGTGGGTGATCATAGTGATAAGATCGACCCATTTTTCGGACAAAGTAAATGATAAGGTTTACACTCTCTCTGATGGAAACCTAAATTGTCGGCAATGGATCCCAACTGTGTTTGAGATTTGGTTTTGCAAAATATATTTATATGATATATATTATGTTTTATGAAAAATGTTTGCCAAAGGTTTTAATTCTCGGGTTCCATCCAACTAGAGAGTGTGGCACTGCACCTTGCAGCTAGGGAAGAGGTCCTTCGCTGTCGGGCAGTGATGTGCTTAGGGATTCATTGCGTTTACCAGTGTATTCGACCAAGCCTTTTTATAGAGGCTTTATCTTATTTAAGTCCATTATCCTGGGTATTCATAGGATGACCGAATTCAATGATCATTTAAGTGCAAGTGTTAGGCCCATTTTGAGCCCATAGTTTATGGGTTCACTACGTTTAGTAGGGAATTAGGCCAGGCCTTTTCACAGAGGTTGGGCCAAACCCATGTGAACTTATGTGAGGTCATTGTGGGGGCCCACGCCATACAAATCAAACCTAAGTTGGCCATGCAACACCCTTGGGTTGTGAGCCGTATAGTTGATGGGCCTAAAGCCCATAATTAATATGATTAATTAAGTTGTCACATGACAGTTTAAGTTGTCATGTGACATGGGGCGAATCTGGGTTTGGAATTGGGTATGAAGCACCCATCATCTTAAGAGATTAAGGCTTATCTCTTAATAGAGTTCAGATCCAAATTAGATTTGGATAATCTCCTAATTTGATTAGGAGAAGTGCTCCATAAAAATATAAAATAAGAAGAGGGCGAACTAGACTAGAACTACTCTCTATTTTGTAATTTCTTTTTATTTTTGTCTCCCAAAAAACCTTAGTTCAACCAAACTATTTTGTGATTGGTAGATATCAGTTTTCTTATGATTTTTGCAAGAAAAATTCAGAGGAATTTCGTGCTCACCTCCCAAATTTGATCCAAGCAGTTGAATTACTGTTTTGTTGAAAATTGTGTCGCTGAACCGACTTCAGGAATATATTGCGCCATATTCAGTGGAGGCTGGTTTTAGGTCTAATTTGGGCATGAATTTCCACCTTAAGATTTGTGTTTGTGACATCTATATCAGATATACATCTCCCTCTTTGGTTGGTTTCAAATCTGGTCTAGTTTAGCGCAAGATCGATCCTGAAAAATGCAGTTTTTCGAAACATAGGGAATTCGATTTCCAAAAGGATTAGGAAATTTTTGAAATTTCACTTAGCCATCTAGCATGGTTCGGCCATCCATATGATGGATCCTAACCCTTCCTTCACCCTTAGTCCCCATTAAGGCCTCAATTATAAAGGAATCTCACTATTGATAGACATTTGTCCACTTTAAAAAGGTTCACCCTTATCTTTAACAGTAAGATTCGCCACCTCAAAATTCAAAGGTAAGGAAGCATCTTCCCATACTAAAGAGATAAAGAAGCATCTCCAATTCATCACCCTATCTAAATAGACAAAAGCAAAAAAAATAAACATATCAATTAAAGATGCCCCGTCTTTCCTGCTTTCACCTTTTCTGCTTATCTTTAATTGATATGCTTGTCTTTTTTGCTTTTGTCTTTTTGGACACGGTGATGAGCTGGAGATGCTTCTCTATATCTTTAATGTGGGTAGATGCTTCTTTACCTTCAACTTTTGAGGTGGCGAATCTTACTGTTGAAGATAAGGGCGAACCTTTTTAAAGTGCACAGATGTCTATCAATAGTGAGATTCCTTTATAATTGAGGCCATAATGGGGGCTGATGGACCAAACGCTTTTAGTCTCGATGTCCTTAGAGATTCCCTTGCTTTTTTTTTCTTTTTTTTTCTGTGAACTGAAGAGACATCTCTTCGAGCTCGATAAGGTCTAGATCAGGAAACTTGGATCTCAGCTTTTCCTGATAAAATTCAAATAGCGCCTAGAAAACCTCATCTTCTTCCACTAGTTTTAGTGTTGATGTAAGATCGAATTTATCCCACCACTTTATTTGCATCATTCTATAACGGCTGGGGGCATCCATGAAACGTCTAGATGATAGCTCCACTTTAGAATCCAAGGGATGCAGTATGCTTTGAAGAACTTGAACTGCTTTACATGTTCATGTTCTAGATAGCTTCTTCCTTGGCCGAATTCAGAGTATTTGTC